TGTTCTGACGTTCTGAGGTTCTGATGTTCTGAGGTTCAGAGGTTCTGAGGTTCTGATGTTCGGAGATTCTGAGGTTCTGATGTTCTGACGTTCTGATGTTCTGATGTTCTGAGGTTCTGATGTTCAGATGTTCTGACGTTCTGAGGTTCTGATGTTCTGAGGTTCAGAGGTTCTGATGTTGTGAGGTTCTGAGGTTCTGATGTTCTGAGATTCTGAGGTTCTGAGGTTCTGAGGTTCAGAGGTTCTGAGGTTCTGATGTTCAGATGTTCTGACGTTCTGAGGTTCTGATGTTCTGAGGTTCTGAGGTTCTGATGTTCAGATGTTCTGACGTTCTGAGGTTCTGATGTTCTGAGGTTCTGAGGTTCTGAGGTTCTGACGTTCTGAGGTTCTGATGTTCTGAGGTTCTGATGTTCAGATGTTCTGACGTTCTGAGGTTCTGATGTTCTGAGGTTCAGAGGTTCTGAGGTTCTGATGTTCTGAGGTTCAGAGGTTCTGAGGTTCTGAGGTTCTGAGGTTCTGAGGTTCTGATGTTCAGATGTTCTGACGTTCTGAGGTTCTGATGTTCTGAGGTTCAGAGGTTCTGAGGTTCTGATGTTCAGAGATTCTGAGGTTCTGATGTTCTGAGGTTCTGAGGTTTTGATGACGACACACATAGCTCCATTCTTTCTATTTTAAATGTGTGTCTTAATTTTCTCTCACACTAGTGAACCTGTGACCTGCTGCCTGTAAGGCAACAACACTCACCGTCCTCCACCATGTTGTCATAAATACATTTTTAAATAGTCATTTGTATTTGAAGGACAGAGAAACTCCCAGAAAACTACTGTTAACTACTAATTCATCTTCACAGCCAGAACCCACAGAGCGAACCGTAGCATCCAACACCATCCAACACAATCCAACACAATCCTAATCCTAATCCTTTCCACAGCCAAACACAAACACTAAGTGCACTATTGCCACACGTGCAGCCCCACAGCACCAACTTACCCATCGTACGGATATCTGGTGAGTGTGTGAGAAAGGAAGAGAAAAGGACGGGAGAAGAATAAATGAAGAAGGCAGAGAAGTGGATCCAACGGTATCAACATGCACAGGTTGAGAACCCGTCAGACTCACAGTGACATTTCCTGTTGGTTCTTCTGGAAGACTGCACCAATGTGCTGGAAGATGTCCTGGTTCAGGAGGTATATACCACAGTTGATGATGTCACTGACAAAAGTGCTGGGCTTTTCCACGTAATGCAGGACCTGAAAAGAGAGGCAGCGGTTGAAAAGAGAGCAATTCAACATCGTTGACCAATGAAAAAAGAGGAAACTTCCACACCTCGTTCGTCTCCTCATTTTCAACAATGCAGCCGTAGTTCAGGGATTGTTTGCGGTTGGCCTGATGAGAAAAAACAATGTTTTAGCAACTGAAAAACTCTACACACAGAAAGGACATGATTAAGTCCATTACTGCAATATTCTCCCCTGAATACACAGTAAACCAGGAATATCAACGCAGTATTTCCCAACCTTTGTTTCACACATTGTTTTTGTAGTGAAACAAAATGATCTTCCAGTTCCTCAGTGTACACACTGGGCCTGTTTAGATGAACACAACAGTGACTGATACTCACAGGAATTGAAGAAAGACACAAACATAGATCTTTCAATGTCTCTCTCTGTTTTTTTTTCTTCTTCATTGCAATCTGCTGCCACCCAGTGGACGTATCTCATTGTTCATGTGTGTGTCACTGTATAGTCTTCGCACCAGTTCAACAGTTAACACCTAATGACCTGATGTGTCATGTGACACAGGACCAGTTACTGTTACTAACCTAACAGCTCCACAGAACTTACTGTCGTGGCCAGGAGAACAAAGCTGTTCGGTTCCCCGTGTTCCTTCTGAAAACTGAGCATCTCCGTCAGGGGGAAGGCGGACGACACATCAGCGTTCATAACAAAGAAAGCCTCAGGATTGCCAGAAACAATCTGGTCTCTGAAGTGATAGATCCCTCCACCTGTGCCCAGGGCGGAGTACTCCTGTAAGTACCTGCAGCGGAGCCAGAGAGAAGACACACCACAGCAGTTGGAAAACCATCATCAGGTCACCGGGGGTCAGCCTTCCTGCTGGGGGGAGGAGGTGGATTTTACTCTGCACTGGTGCACATGCTGATGTGTCCCTGGACTGGACAGTTCATCAAAACCTCTACTGCATCATACTGTACCTGAGCTGTGTGAGTAATTAAATTAAATCACTTCAAACTGACTCGTGTGTGAATTATTGTGTGAAACGTCAGCGCAGCAGGATCTGATCTGATCTGATCTGATCTGATCTGATCTGATCTGATCTGATCCACACCTCACACTGCTGTCCTTGTCAATAATGTTGTTAATCAGGATTAATTACCTCATAATTACATGATTTCTGTTTGCATTTCAACCGGCTGTACTACTGCAGTACTACTGCAGTATCTGCTCCTGTTGGCTCCCCCCCCTCCCCCCCCATGCTGTCACACCCATTTTTCCTCACTTTTTGCAGAAGTGCACAGCTGCACACACTGAGTCTGAGGCTGCTGGAGATTTCTTCTTGTCAAAAGATTTTTTTTCCTCCCCCGCTGCCAAAGTTCTGCTCAGTGTGGATCTACCTTGATTTCTGTGTGTACTGAAGAAAAACAAAGACCGTCCGTGTACTCCGAGCGTCGCTGCTGTTCTCCAGAGGTCAACGCCCAGGAAAGCAGACGCTTCTTTGTCATTTCAATATAATTCTGACTTAAATACATTCCTCTATTTCTCCTCCAGTGACAGTGTTTTTTTGGCTGGAGTTTTTTACCTGATGGAGATTTTGAACTCCTGCTGTGCGTTCATGAGGAACCTGGTCAGCTCCTCATTGGGCTGATAAAAGCCAATCAGCAGAATCTCTTTCATATTTGGAACCTGTAAGATGGATTCAGTTAGAAAGGGACCGATTGACATGGGTGCAGCGGAACAAAATAGTACTTTAGCTGCACAGACACCGACCTTGGCACATGCTTCGATGTGGTGCTGTATCATCGCCACACCAGCCACAGGAAACAAAGGTTTAGGAACTTCAAATGACAGCGGCCTGAACCGTGTGCCTTTCAAACAAATACAGATCACATTTTTTTTTTTTTTTACTTTTAACTTCAATGCATTTTTCAGAAAGACAAGAACATGTTTTAATAGGGAAGCATTGTTAGCATTATATACAATTATTGACTTTATTTTATTTTATGATATTTTCCAAAAATTAAACACCAACATGTGTGTTTTGTCAGAGTAAACGCAGACAGAAAAATAATTGTTTAAATGTAGGACTGAATTGTTGAGGACAGTGTAACAAACTGTAACTGATCATGTTTCCTGTGACGTAGAAACAAAGACAAACGTTTTCTTGTCGGTGACCATTGTTTTAGAAACAGCATCTCCACCTGAACCCACACTGTGATGTTTTATACAAGATATTGTTTGAGAAGTTGATTTAATCCAGTATTTCATATTCTTTGTGGCAGACTTGCCTTGTTCATCCAGTCTGGAGGTTGGAATAAGGCAAACACGACAGGTTCACAACAGAGAGATCAAGGAATAGTCAAACCCCAGGGGTTTTTAGACAGAACCCCCCTCCATCATTTAGATCATTATAAAGTCCGTTCTTTAATGATGCTGTGGGGACTGTGGACAGAGACCTTGGACAAATGTTTATTTGTTATTGGAGCCTGGTTTAAATAAGGATTAAGATTATAAATCCTTTCGTCATGGTGGAGGTTACAAAAGTATTCATACACTGTGTCTGTGTGTTGTCCTATAAATGACAACCTACTCAGACAAAGCGCCATGTAGTTGTGAAGTCTTAGTGTTGAATTCGACTCCTGTCCACGTCATAATACACACACGTCCACGGGTCTTCACAGCAGCGGAGCGTTAGCAACCGAGCTCACCACAAAACACACGCAGCGGTCGGTTAAAGGTGGGAATGTTGTCGTTTCCTCTCACCTTTCTGGGGGCCTCCGATCAAAATAACGGCTTTTAACATCTTGACTCGAGTTCAGAGTCCGGCAGGTAAAGAATCCGCAGCAGTTGTACTGACGTTTCGCTTCCGCCTTGTGACGCCATCCGGCTACGTTGAAAACGTAAAGTGGACTTCGACTTCCGGCAGGAATGTCGTTCAGAAACTGAGTTTGGACGTTTTTCTTAAATTGTCCTTTTGGACAGTCAGAGTTTGGACGTTTTTCTTAAATTGTCCGGTCCGTCTTCGTATCCTCAACGACACGGTATAAAATACACTGTTATTTAAGGAAAAATAAAAAGGTCTTACAAAACTAAAGACATGCTATTATTTGATATTTATATAAAATCATTTGACCAATAAACAGAAAAAAATAACTATAACAATTGTTATTTATTTCCTACTACAAATAATCATTTTTATTTTTTTTAATGCACAGTTAAAGCTTGGTTTTACATTAGACCAGTTTCATTGTAATAATAATCCTATGGTTTATTTGTTTTTCTCTATTCGTTTGTAGATCGTTTAAAACACTGCACATTCGTCAAGTTTATATATTGTTCTGGAACCTTTTACCTGTTTGTCTGGTTATTCTGGGCCGTGGAAAAGTAAAGCAACGAGGAAACGTCTCTCCACGGTCTGTTCTGAGGCTTTGTGGAGACAACAGACGTCACAGACAGCCTTAACACGGAGCCTACTTTCATGTTTCCTCATTAAAACATAACCTGAGGTAAAAAGGCCTAACACGTAGCAATGTTTGTAAATCAAATACATGCAAATAAGATGCAAATCAGCATCAAACCAACAGTAAAGTCTCAGTCAAAGCTCACTAGGGAACACGCGACTGCAGCACCAGCTCCTGCAGGAGCAACAGACAAACGTGGATTCACTTATAAATACTGCAGAGTTCAAAGGTTCAGTGGGAGAAAAACTTAACATTCATTTGGTTTTATTGAAAAGAGACACAGGAAACATCGAGAAGCAGAAAATGTTGACGACAGTGTAAAAGGTTGTTGTTGTTGTTGTCACCGTACATCCAACAGTTATTAATGTGTCAGTGTGAAAACATTATTAATGTGAGAATTATAACAAAACGACCATCATTTAAAAACAGAAATCAATGACAGTTCAATTCAGTCACATTTACTTCATTACAAACAACAGCGTTTCATAAAGCGTGTAGTACATGTAGTTCATGTAGTACATGTACTACGTGTAGTTGGTGTAGTACATGTAGTTGGTGTAGTACAGGTACAAACGTCCGCAGTAACAAACAGTTCTACATGTGCAGTTACTTCAACAACTCCATGATTGTTGTTTTGGCAGAACTCACAGGTTAAATCAACAAGTTCACAGGAAAACAAAGGAGGTTTGTGGTAAACACAGAAAACAACCTGCTGATACCACGTGTTCACAATGGAAATACAACTTTATATGATTGTTGTGCTGGATTCAATGTTGTGTCAAATATTATTGTTATCTCTTATATTATTTTATCAATGACCCTTTTATAATCTATTTATATTTATTAGTATTTTTAAATATTTCAAAATAATTTCAGCTGACTATGAATAGTCACCAATTTCTATCACTTTGACAGAAGTTAAAATAGAATCGTTCAGTTGTGTCTGAGAAAAAATTTAACTAAATTTTAAGATTTACCATCAAGTTTCCAAAGAGTCTGTAAAGAGAGACGGGGTCATGACCTGTGTCCCTTCAACAACACATTATTATTATTATTATGTTTATTGGTGTCACAGATGTGATTTCCCTTCAGTCGTATTATTGCTGTTTATTAAGACGTTTTTAAAGTCCAGAGCAGCTGTCAGTGGCTGAAGGATTAAAAATGATGGAATGATGATTCAAAAACAGACCAATGAGCCGTCCTTCTGAAACGTCCACACGTGGTTGACAGAAAAAGACGGTTAAATCACTGTGTCTTTACAACCATCACCCTTTTGTGTCTGACAACGTGCAGATTCACTGGAGTTCTAGAACAAACCTGACTCCTTCATTTAGACGCCGTCAAATTTTGAGTTTTGCTTTTATTATTATTAATAATTCCATCATTCAGATTAGTCACAAATAAACACAGGTTTGAAACCCACACACATACCTGCTGTTATTAGTCTTTCTGTTCCCCCAAAATACAGACTTTTCTGTCATTTTATCATGATTAAAATTAATCATGATTAATGATTCCACAGCAACTCTGTGACCAATGAGAGTGAACTTTGACACCCCCACTGGTAGGATTGAATAATGCAGGTAAAATAATACAGAACAAAGTTACTCAAAGGTGTGACTGGGCTGATGGACATTCAAAGTCTGCTTCATGAACAGTACCTCAGAGCTCCGCTCGTGTTGTCTGTGATTCTGCACCAACAGCCCGGTCAGTTTACCCAGTACTACCTCCTGTTGTAAAGGTCTTTGCGTTTCCGCAGCTCCTCCAGAACCCGGGCCCTGAACTGGATCCAGTCTTCATCCATGACCTGCTGGAGTCCCAGGGCCAGATGGAGATCAGCAGAGTGGCTGCGCAGGAATGGATTGTACTGCTTTTCCTCCCCGATGGTGGAGGGACTCTGAGAAACGAAGCACGTGTCAGTGAAGGCAACACGTTATAACATTGATGTTCAACGCCTCTCTCTAGTGGCCACAGTCACTCACATGCCACTCGTTCATTCATGCAGGGCAGCATTATGGGTAACCGGGGAATTGAGCCAAATTAACCCTTGCCGCCTGGACCTTCAGCATCTCTGCTTCAATTCAAATGATGCAGCACTTTAATGGCCGACCATAAATCACCGCTTTGCTCTCAGCTGTTTTACTCTCGACCTCATTAGTAGAGCACAGTCTCAGGTGGGAGAACGTTTTGACTAATTCAATCTTTTTAATCACCTACTAGTCTATAAGCAGCTGACAACGTTAGCAATTATGATGCCAACAACACAATTCTTTTACTTTATTTTCTCATAATAATATGGCCTTAAATTTCTTTTTTTTCTTATTATTTTTACTTTGAATAAAGAACAACAACCCTGTTCATATATTTAATTTAAGGCTGTGAAACCATTCACCTTTTAAATTAATAATCGAGACAGTTACTGTATCACTCTGACTTTCGACAGCCCTAACATCAACCAATCACGTGCACCGTGCAGACAACACATATTCAGGAAGTGAACGCAGTTCCCCTGCCTCGACACCAGACTGTACTGATGCCAGATAAACACTCATCGAAATTCTGTAAAGGTGCTTCACTCAGCGTGGAACCCCAGCTCTGCTGCAGCTGATATCATAGAGGAGGCTGAGCCGAGAGGCTAAAAGAGGAGAGCGTGTGAGAAAAGTGGGCACTCACGGCACCGACACTGTACGCTGGTGATAAGGCTCCACCTTCCCAGATGCCGGACAGCACAAATCCTTTCTGGGAGGGTGTGCTGCAGAGGCGTAACAATGGCCATATATCATTCTCACCGTGCACAGCTTTTGGCCTCGCTGCTGCAGCACCCACTGACACTTGTTTTCTCTGGCAAGGTTGCGCGGCTCAACCTCGGCAGCGAACAACAGGTTGTCCTCGGCGTACTCATGGCCTGAGGACACAGGGACACAGGGACACAGGGACACAAAAACTAAATATCAATGCTATAAAAGCTGATGTCGATTTCTGAGCTGCATACAGAGGAGACATTCTCCCACTGCCACTCATTGATCCTGGACTTGACACGTGATAAAAAGATCTTCCTACCAGGCCACAGGAGCGTCTCATCACTTAAAGAAGCCACTGTGTCCAGGGAAGAAAGCATTGTTGTAGCACTGCCTTCAAACATCCTTCCTTAAAACAAAAACAAACATGTTTAGGTTCAAACACAGCAGAAGTTCCATATGATTTCAATAAATAAATACAATTCTATCAATCATTTTTAGCATCGATTACTAGACATTTGTTTGAATTCCAGGCCAATCCTGCCTGTGAGTCTCAAGGTTGAAAAACACCGTGTTAAAACATCCTGTGCATCTTCCTTATGACTGGCAACTGGTGCATTACCGCCACCTACCGGGCTACTGGGTGTGTGCATTCAAGTTAACTACTGTGGCAGTGATTAAACTGGAAAAGATTGGATTAAATTAGTCACTTTTTGAACACATTACTTTGTCTGTAATTAAACACAACAGCTGTTTTACAGTTTGATGGTGAAAAGGTGAGACCCGTCACCAGTGACGTTCAACTCTGACGTCAGTGACTCACCACATCCTGAGAGAAACACCAGGTCGCCAGAGAACAGGCTGGGTGGGGCGTCGACGGCTTGGCTGTTCAGGAGGTAGATCATGTGACCCACTGTGTGTCCAGGAGTGAAGAGGGCTTTGAAGTGCATACGACCCACGGTGACAGAGTCCATGTGTGAGAGAGGGCTGTGATACACACACACACACACACACACACACAAGTTTAAAGTGGTTTTGAAGGGCATAAAGGAAAAAAAAACGTTTTCCATTAGAGAAAGAATAAGGCAAAAAACGTTTTCCATTAGAGAAAGAATTTCTTAATAAAAACACAGATAAAAGTGACATGATTCTGATATTTATTTAATATGACGTGAAAACACCATGAAGTCAGAGACGTTGAAGACGTTGGAGACGTTGAAGACGTCAGCAGACACGTCCTTCTTCTTGAGACGTTGGAGACGTCAGCAGACACGTCCTTCTTCTTAGTTGTCTGATGTTGTCAGAATCATTCCTCTCCTGCTGCTTACTGACAGCCTGGTGTTAACGCTGACACAGGCAGCTCTGAGTTCTCCAGTCTAGTTACATGGACCGTGTATTTAAGATTGTAGTCAAGTTTCATTTGATTATTCCTAAGGTCTTTTCCTGACTCGTCCTCCCACAGTGTGAGCTTCAACCTGACAACCTGACGTGTCAGAGCCACAACCCAAGAACCAACAGGTTTGATTTCTGAGCTTCTTTGAGTTTAAATGAGGTCGAAACTCTCTTTGTCACTACCATAACAGAAATCATATCCACCCTCCGTCACCATCACTTTGAAAGAAAGACCTGCTGTAAAAACACGTTGTTTTAAAATAGCACTCCTGGAAAATAACTGTTGCCTCGGCTGTGACTCAGCTGTGGTGAGTGATGAGAGGAGAAAAACACAGAGTGTGAGGGAAAGGAAGCAAGAACTTACTGCGTGAGTCCAGGAATGTTATCAGCTGAGTTTCCATAAACTCTACATGAGCTGTAGAGTTTCTTCAGGCCTTTGTTTCCTCCACTGTGATCCCTGAAAATGGAGCAGCAGAAACTTCTAAATGATCACTTATGTTTAAACCTAACAAAAAAACCTACATTTTATAACTAACCAGAAGCCACTCACCAGTGCTTGTGTGTGCAGAGTATTGCATCCAGCATCACTGCCTCCTCCTCCAGAACAGCCTGTAATGTTTGTCAGATCCTCAGTCACCGTGTTGAACTAACACACGAGCACTCCTCATTTATTTGTTTTATTTCTGTCACTAAACACTGGTACAGACTTTGTTTCATGTGGTCTTTCACAAAGAACTTGTATGGATTTGGTGGATTTGAATGCATTTACCGTATGTTCCATAATAATTCCAATTATTATGCGAATAAAAATCTCAACGCAGATTTTAAAACGCAGACAGACTGGAGGCAAAGGAAGTAAAATAATTCACCTGAACGGTCTGAGGGTCTGCAGGATCTACAACCACGGCGACACTGGAGGTTTTGTCAATAATGAGATAGCTGTAGTTGTCGGACAGCACGGGGATGGGAATTATTTTGAGATCTGCGGACACAAAATGATCAAGTATAAACAACACACTCAGACATACAGTTCTATCACGTGCAGAGCTTTGATGTAGTCATAAACACATGAATAACATTAATTATTTATGTTTAAATGATGTTAAGTGAATGGACGATGAACAGAGTGTGCAGCCGACACCTCGTACCACTGAACTCCATGGGCTGGACCGTGGAGTGTCCAGCAGGGAACTGTTCACGAGCTTTTCTCATCTGTCTCTTGTAGTACATGTAGCCCAGCCTGGTCCTGGTGTACAGTGTGTACCTAACACACATGTCAAAGGTCAGGTCAGTGGAGAAGCACCACACACACATTCACAGAGACACAGACAGACAGAGTACAGGGTGAACACTCATCAGGACTGGTCACGTTTTAGAAGTAAAAGTCTTTCAGGTTCTAATTCTGGAACGTGTGAACAATTATATAAAAACAAAATTAAGACTTAGTTTATAGAGAAACTGAGATTTATTTGTTTCATGATAGTGAAAATATATAATTAAACAAAGTATATAGAGAAGATATAAAAATATTTATTTTAACCAAAAAATAGCTGTCCTAAAACAACATCGCCCAACAAGAGGTAAATATATATATTTATATATATATATATATACGTACTGTATATGTATGTATATATGTGTGTGTGTGTGTGTGTATATATGTATGTATGTATATATGCCGAACAAAAACAAATCTAGTTTAAGGAAACGTCACGGACTAAGACGAACAGCTCCACATATCATGTTGAACGTGAGGCAGATGAGTGAGAAGATCCTCAAAGATTATAAAGGGCTAGTTGTTGCTAAACTACATCGACGACAGCATTTCTAAATATCGAATTGAACTCACGCGATTCGGAACAACGGCTTTTCCGTGCGCGCCATTATCTTAGTGAAGAATTGTCTCCAAAACCCTTGCGCAAACCGTCTGTAACGAAAGAACAAACATAAAAAACACAAGAAGGATGCGGCAGCCACAAACATTATCCAGTTCTGAGGCACCATGGCCTCTAAACTGTACGTGACGACGTGATGACGTTTAACTAGACGTAACAACACCGGAAATGAGGCGGAAAAATGTTTGACATATCTTTATTTTATGGTTTTAGCCCAACATTCAGAACATATTTTTGACTGTATGATACATTCTTTACCATGTGAATTTACAACATTAGATATAAATACACTATTATTTTTAATATAGAATTTCAGAAACCACAGTAGGAAACTGTCGAAGAAGCCTTCGTTGTAATCTTAATTAAGGTATTCATTATTAATTATTCCTGAAACATCAGGCTAATTTAATTCTTAAATAATCCACCAAACAAAAAGCACTAATCTATGACACAAACAGGGAGAATATAAACACCAACAGTTGTGTAAGATTACTAAATAATTGTGCTTTCCCACAGCTAGTTTCCTAGACACTGACAGTGTACATTTCAGAGAGCAGATCCTATTACAACATGACACCCACCTGTGTGGATGCAAACCTCCAAGGAGACGGGACTGAAGGGCACGGAGCTCCACAAGGTGAGGACGATATCAACTTTTTATTTTCTATATTTCAGAGTTCTGCAGTAGAACCAAGAAAAAAGATCAGCACACTAACTATAGTGATCATTTGTTAAAATGTGGCTAAATGTCAGTTTTCTGAGAGGAGGCTTATAATCAGGGTTTTAATTATGGTTTTGACTCAATGGTGTTTGTGTTTATTTTGTTAATTAATCTAATGTCTGTTGTCATTGAGACTGATGGAGTCTGACGTCCACACCACACTGGACATGACGCGTTCAGGTGCAGGATAGAACTGTTAATAACTGTTCAACTGACAGTTCAACAACCGTTCATAGAAGTTCAATGTTGCAGTAAAACATAAAACCAGACACGGTGAACATTTCTGAACATGTGAAGAACGAGTCAGTACAGATTCTGTCCACTAGGTGAGCCGGGACCAGTCATGTCTGCCAAGATGGACAGTCCTCCGCCTTATGAGGACGCAGTGCACCAACCCAAGTATGAAGACTACCCCAACAGGCAGCAGCAGGACTCTACTCTGCCCCCACCTCCTTCCTATAGCCCCAGTTCTAACACTTACCCCGGCCCCCCCG